AAGTTGAGCGAAATATTGTGTATTAGATTTATGGTGATTTTGGAAATGTGAGCTCATGGGAAGAGACAAACTGATCAGACACAATCTGCTCTCAGTGAAAAACAAATGAAATCCATGTAATGACCCAAACACATGGCTAAACAGATGGTCATTTGTCCCCACAGCCACTGGGCTACTACTGAGGATTAGACATTTGAGTGTTTGATTGTATTTCTGTGATTTCAATCAGAATGAATCATGTTAGAAAATGAAAGTTGCATCTATCTGCTGCTAATCTCCATGTTTTACGCAGCTTGTCTTTATTTGGTAATAAATGAAGTCTCTTCCCCATATATTTTCTGTCTTTTTTTTGTTTCTAATCTTCCTTGTTATTGTCCCTGCTTTTCACGCATGAACGATGAAAGTGATTTGCAAACATCTGCCGGAATCCTGCCATTTAAACACATTTCCCAAAATGTACCAAAGGGTCTTATTCCCGCTAGATTTCACTAGACTTATGACATAATCTGTTCTATGCATAAACACTGAAAAGATTTAGAACGAAATATGAAAACTGTTCTTTTTGTAAACGTTTCCGTCCCCAAAGATTTCTCTACTACGAGCGACACCCACACCCGCGCCCACAGTCAATTGCGACAGCTTTCCTTTGAGGAAGTTCGGGAGTCATAAATGAGATGCATCATGCCTCCTCTCACATTAATGCAAATGCAGAAACGCACATAAGACAGAGCCTCTCATTTATACACCACTAGATGAAAATGAATGGAGGTGGGATTAGTTGTGCTTTGCCTCTCGAGGATGATAAACACATGTATATTTATAACCCTGGCTGTAGCCAAGCGAGAGGGAGCCGTTCTGCGTGACGGTGATGACGGTGTAAAGGACTGGAAGCGCTGGCATAGTTCGATAATCAGCTTTACCAACCGGCACACACATTCTCAAAGAAGGTATTCTACCACCTGGGCGCACACTAGTTACATTTCTCACTGTCTAACTGATGCAATGTGGGGTGCATTGGATTTCAAACCCAAACAACAACCAAGAATGCATTTATTGTTGTGCTTTGTGGTCTGTGTGCAGGCAGAACCAGGTGCTGTGCTTTATCATAAAGGAAAAGGTAGATAAGAAGAAACAAGACTCAAATCACTCGCTTATTCCTAAACACGCTGTACACCTACAACCAGACGTTTACTGTGAAATGACCGTTTCCGACTTGCATTAGATGAAAAGTTGCATTATTGTCATTTTCAAATGACTTTGCATTGCTAAGCAGTATACATGTTATTAAAATAAGTTTGCACTGCGTTCCAGTTTGGGCTTTTTATTTTGTGCGTGCATTTCAAATTCATTGACGCTGCCCTCAGTCCTAACTGGTTGTGGTATCACAAGTGGGTAGATTTGGGTAGATGATGTTGTTCCCACCCATCACAAAACAGCAGATTGACAGATAGACTATCATCTATGGATGCCTATGCCTAAGAATTTTTGTTAAATACTAAACAGGCCATGTCAGTTTTTTTTCTTCTTGGCTCTGTATGATGTCTGAGAGTAAATAATAGTATTTGTCTTGTATTTGAATTCAACAGTTCCCTTAATATTATTGTTTGCTGTATATTATAGTTATTTGTGCTAATGAGCAGTGGAACAAGTGCCACATGTTTGTGTTTTAAGAATATATATTTTACTCCAGCAGCTTTGTAATATAACCGTTTGTCTTCAACAGTGACTAAATTGCAGTCAGCTTTTTTTTGTGTGTGATTGCGTCATTGTGTTAACACGAGCAGAGTGATGTGATCATTTTCTGCTTCATTTCAAAACGGTTCTTCGTTTAAAACATAAAAAAATTGAAACAATGTGAGAAACAACGACGGTGATTATTTTACCCGCTGAACATGCTCTGGTGTGAGGAAGGAGGAAGACGCAGTCTGCATGCTAACCATGGGCGAACGCTGTAGGATGGGTTCATGGGGCAGCATTTATTCTGCTCACTTCAGTCTCCAGAGAGCTGCAGTTTGTGAGGCACAAAGAGCGGCAGGGAGATGAACGCTAGTCTCCAGTAGTGTGATTATTGATTCGGCTGCTCCTCCCTCTGGCCTTCACAGATTTATGTGGAACACACACTGTATTTCTCCTTCCATCCCAGCGGCTCTTTGCCTGATTCCACATGACTTTTACTTTGACTTGGCCAGTCACCGGACACAGCACTGGCTGCATTGTGTGTGTGTGTGTGTGTGTGTATGTGTGTACGTGTTTGTGTTCACAGTGTTAGCCTCGCCTGTGGTTCTGTAATGTCAGCTCCGGCTGATTTGTGCATCTCACACCACCTGTAGACCGGCCTGTCACGTTGTGTAGCTGCTGTGTCTTACATGCCTCAAGGCTGTGCGCATGGGTGTTTGTGTACTCTGCACATGTGTGTGCTTGGTATATAGATTGAACTGACTAAGTGCTATTTTTGGATTCGAACATGTTTATGCATGAGTTTATTTCACACACACACACACACACACTGGACATAAAGGACATAAAGGTGTTTAATACACTGACTTGATGTTACCTTTTGGGGACAAAAGCAAGTCGCTATAATGTAGATCACTACTTGGTTTAAGGTTATGATAAAGCCTGGAGGTTGCTGCTATAACAGGAAATAAATGTCATCAATATAATTTCCTCTGAAGTAAAGGGAAATGACTCTTTGAGTGGGAAATATACGCATGCTGGGCTGTTTTCCATCAAGGTCCCTGGCCGGAAGCCAGGCTATCCCAAAAAATCAGCATGCCATTGTTCTGCTTGTCCTTCACATTTGCCCTGCATTTCTTTAATGTTGCATGCGTTGTTTTTACAAGGTGCATTCAGCACAAGTGTGATCACCATCTCTAAAAGCACAAACACCGTATGACACAGTACAACAGCAAAAGGTGATGTAATTTGTCTAGTTAGCTGCTAACATCACATAGGTCAAGCTACTGTAACTGCTGATTATCAGGTGTGGAAGCCGGCATGAAAATGCCAGGAGTCAGGAGTGTTATTAGTTTTGGTGCACAAGATAAGATAAGAAATAAATCATCATTTAAAAAAAATGCTATGACATTAATTTGACTCTAAATGATCAGGCTTGTATATCTATAATGTTATCTTATTTGCTGATGTGATGTCATATGCCATCAGTCATCCTTTCACTTAATGGCTTATCCGGGCAGCACAGTGGGTTCGAATCCGCCAGCAGGCTGGAGCTTTTCTGTGTGGAGTTCATGTCTTCTCCTGGTGTCACATGCATGTTAGGTTCATTAGTTCTTAGTTATCTGTAGATGTGAATGGTTGTCTGTGACAGTGGTGTTCTGCCCAGGGAGTATCCTGTAGCTCCAGTCCCCTTTGACCCTGTCATCAGGGACAATACTGTCCATTATTCAGGTTATGTCTATTGCTGTTAGGCTACGTTCACACTGCAGGCGAAAGCGCATCAAATCCAATTTTTTTTGACCCTATGCGACCCATATCCGATCATGGTGTGACCATGATCGGATATGACCAGCACAAATCCGATATTTTCAAATCCGATCTGGGTCACTTTCGTATGTGGTACTGAATCCGATACATATCCGATGTTT